CGTAGCTATATTTACGTTCGACTATCTAAATAACGTTAATCTCCGATATAGCTTTTAATATCTCTTCCTGCTTTAATATTATTTCCTCGTTTTTAAAGTATCGTAAGTCGAGAGATATAAGCTTTAGCTTTCCGGCTAAATAATAATATGTTATCCTACGTACCTACTTTAGAGATTCCTTACTTTAATATTGTAGTGGTGCGGTAAGACATACCCTTTTAATGCATTACGTAACACGCTACGATAGGCCTTATGCCTATATAGAGTAACCATAGCTCCCGTAAATGCGGGAGATGCCATACTTATCATTTAGATCATTACCTAGCTAGATTACTATCTTTATTATTTTTACCTTAATTAAACATTCGTTTTTGTTATTAGATTCGTCGTTTTCCGATTAATATATCTATTTTAATTATAGGCGCTTAAGTTACTTCGTCGTACCGCTATAGCCGAATAAGTAACTTTTGCGTTTTACTCCTTTTCTTTCCTTACCTCTTATACCTTCGGGCTAGCGATTATTATATCTCTACGACTAAGGGACATAGCTAAGATACGATAACTACATTAGATTCCTTGCCTCTCGATTAATATAGCGACATTAGTTTTATTTATCTTAGACTATCGTACGTACTATAGTCTTCGATAGAGTATACTTTCGAGTGAACCTATCCGGGTCTCTAGCATCGCGTACGCTCTGCTCCTCCTTAATATACGTAAAATAAGATATAATAAGCGATCGGTTTTCCTTTACGCTTAACTTAGGTAATAATCGATCCTAGGATTAATATTAACTCTAGCTTATCCGGGTCTCCGTTTTCGAGGTAATATAATCGCTTTTTATTCCTATAGTAGAAGCGATTCTACGTTATATTTATTAATAGCGGATAGCGGCTATAATTATAAAGCCGATCGAAAGTATTATAAAATTAATATTCGAATTCCTTATAGTTATTCGTTTAAGTTAATAAAATCCTATTACGTATACCTCGGTAGTTTAATATAATACTACGTTTAAAACTTATTAAGGTCCTTTCGTTAGTTTATAGATTATAAAGACTTAGGTTCCGAACCGCGTTTATTAGGAACGGGTTTTCCTATTAATATTATTAATCGGCGCTATACGTATACTTAGGGCTATAAAAGCTACTTTCTTAACGGTAATTCTACGAAGTTATCTTTATTTTTAGAGCGTTAAATCGGTCGTAAAGGGCTTATATACTAGCTTTTTAACTAGTATTTAGGTAGCCGTAAAAGGGTTTAGGCTACGAGGGAAGCGGTAGTAAAAGCATTTAAAGGTTAAGAGTCGTTAATCGTTAAATTATCTATATTATAGGTTTCTCGGGTTCTTTAAAAGTTACCGTTTTTTACTATCGTCGTTCTTTGGCTTAGGCCTTATCGGTAATTTATATTATTATACGACGTTCCGCTTACTTATAGAGCTAGGTATAAAGAGTCCGGTAGTCGATATTTCCGATCCTATTATAATTATAGTCTCCTATCTTATAGAACTTTATAATTAAGAATATCCGGAATTTATCGGTTAGGTATCCTACTTTCTAGGGAAGCTTTCCGTTATCGTTTACGAGCTTAGAAAGACGTTTATAGTTTATAAAATACGTAAAAATCGCCTTAGGATCGTTAATTACGTTACTTCGTTCTAGCTATACGAGTTTACGTTTAACGTTAACTTAACCTAGTTTATCGATAATCCTAAAACGATACTTTAGGGCTATAACGATAACTCTTTAGATCGTTTTATCCTTCGTAACGTAATTAATACGCTCCTTAATAATTTTAATCGTAATTTATTCGCCGATTTCTTTAATTTTATCGTCGTCGCTTATACGGTAGCGGTTAAATAATCGATATATCTTTTTTAGTTATTAAGTTACGTTATATTTATTAAACTTAAGCTTAGGGTAATCGGTAGAGTTAGGGAATCTAATAACTAGCATTACGATAATCGGAATAGCTACCGGTATATTCTAATTACTAGAGGCCCCGTTATTATTATTTTAAGATAATGCCATAGGGATTAGCGGGATAAGTATAAAGCCGCGGATAAGGGGTAGCTAAGTAGGAGTTTTATCGTCGTTCTTCTCTTCTTCTGGCGGATATAAAGGCGGAAAGCTAGTATCGATTCTTAAGGTCTTTATTAATAGTTTAATTTTTATTACTTCGGGTCCCGATAGCGATTTATTTCGTTTCCTAGCTATAAATTCCGTTTAGTCTATCGGTACAAGGTATAAAGTAAAAAGGGGGATAATAAGGATCTTATTATTTAATATAAGGGTAAAGATAAAATAGCTATTATTTATATCTTAATACTTTTCCTTTAGTATAGGTATATTATTATTTATTATACTATCCCGATCGATAAAGTCCGGATATTATACGAACTTCTCTAATCGGTTAACGCCTAACTAAAGTACGATACGTATTCCTTGGACTAATAGCTTAATTATTATAAATAAATCGATAATAATTCCTCTTATTAAGGTTTAGAACTCTTAACGTATAACCTTCGTTAAGGTAATACGTATAAGGGATAAATCCTAAGTAAAGGATCGCGTTAAATACGATACCGGTTATAACTATAGGCCGGTTTCGATTTAACGGGGGTTATTTAATAGTATTAGCGGTATTATTACTAGGCGCCGTTTTACGCCTATATTAATATTTCTCGCCATATTAGTTATTAATTAGTAATATAAGGCTAGCCTATATATAGGTATACCTATTAGCTCGACTCTAGTTCCGTTTCCTTAATCCTTTATATCTACGTAGTCTTATTAATATTAATTCCTAGTTCTCTTTAAAACTATCGGTTATTAGTAGCTATTAGTTTATTAATTCTATCTATACTATTAATGTAAATATTTATATTATATCGTATATTATATTATCGAATCGCTACGCCTAAGTATCCTAAAATACCTCTAGTATAATAAGTTATTAATATCTATATATTTAATTTATATCGATTAATAGGTTTAAAGGAAAAAAGAAGCTATCGTAAAATCGGTTAGGATATAATTATTATTAGCCTTTATCCGCCCTTAGTATTAATAAGGAAGTAACGGGTCGTATAGGTTATCGTAATTTATACTAAGGCGTTCGTACGTTTAGTTTATATAGTAAATAAATAATTATAAGGGGGCTGCTTTAATTACTATAAGCTTTATTTATTCGTACGAAATATACTATACTATTAGCGGTTCGAGGGAGCGGTTAGTATCGAGGATTAAATACTATCCCTAGTAGCGGTAGTATTATAATGAGAGGTTTCCTAGGTTTTACGGGTTTCTCCGTATAGTAAATAAATAACTATACGAGGGATATCCTAATCGGTATAAACGCGGTTTAGTCGTCGTATTATATCGTAGTATCGATAGCTTATTAACGTTATAAGTATTAAGGGCTAAACGCTATCCTAATAGTAATAGTATCGTTATAAAAGTTCCCGGGCTTATACGTACCTCCTTATAGTAGATAAATAACCATAAGGCGGGATACTTTACTTAACGTAAAACGCGGGCTGCTTCGCGGGTTAAATGGCGGCGCCGACGGCGATCGGTATCCTTTAAATCCTAATAGCGTAATAAAAACTCCGTAAACTAAAGGTTAAGGGGTCGAAAAAGTTATAAGGTAGTCGTTACTAAGAAGGAGTAAAGCGTACGCGATATTAAAAACCCGGATAGGTTTACTCGAAAGTATATTCTATCGAAGATTATAGTACGTACGATAACCTAAGATAAATAAAACTTATATCGCTATATTAATCGAAAGATAAGGAATCTAATATAGTTATCGTATCTTAGCTATTCCTCTTAGTCGTAAAGATATAATAGTCGCTAGCCCGAAGGCATAAGAAGTAAGGGAAGAAAAGAAGCAAAACGTAAAAGTTACTTATTCGGCTATAGCGGTACGACGAAGTAACTTAAGCACCTATAATTAAAATAAATATACTAATCGAAGAACGACGAATCTAATGATAAAAACGAATCTTTAATTAAAGTAAAAATAATAAAGATAGTAATCTAACTAGGTCGTAAACTAAATAATAAGCATAACATATCCCGTACTTACGGGAGCTATGGTTATTTTATATAGGCATAAGGCCTATCGTAACGTATCACGTAATACATCAAGAGGGCATATCTTACCGCACCACTACAGTAGGTAATAACTTCTAACGTTCGACCGCCTTTTCTTAGAGCCTCTTATATAAAACTAAACCACCTACCTCTTAACGCGACGCATTACTGCTAGTTCTAGTCTAGCTATAGGGCTTTACCGCGTAAGAGGCTACGTTTACTACGCCTATATACGCGTAATTAAAAGAACTAAGCTATTAAGCTAAAGTACTTTGGAGCATTAACTAGGCTTATAACTATCGTATAAAACGTAGACGCCTACATTTACGTTTTACGGTATGTAGGCTTATATAGGCTGGTTTAATTATTACGTGATATACGTTTAGCCTCTTTCCTTTCTTTACCTTTTATACCTTTGAGCTAGTAATTACTATATCTTCATAACTGAGAGATATACTTAGGATACGATAATTATATTAAATTTATTATATTTCGAATATTTATTTTATTTATTTTAAACTATCGTATATACTATAGTTACTAATGGAGTATACTTTTAAGTAAGCTATATAGGACTCTAGTATCGCGTACGTTCTGCTTCTTTTTAGTAGGTACAATTTTTTTTTAACTTTAAGCCACTTTATCTCCATTAAATTCAAGATAAATAATAGGGATATATTATAGGAGTGAATTATAAAATATAAAAAGAAGAAGAAAAAAATAAACACGTATAAATAAATACGTTAATAAATTTATATAGAGATTTTAAATAATAATAAGGATATATTTAATAAGAAAAACTTTATTTATTATGCGTTTTTTAGCTAGTAAAACGGTGTATCCCCTAAAACTGACTTCGTATTTATAGGGTTATTTATAGGGGAATTTACCCCTATAATTAATCAGTATAACAGGGGGTGTAACGTATTATTACCATCCTCCGGATAGGATAACAAGCACCCAATCTCCCAACTCGTCGCACTCTGCAACCGACAAATCCGGACCCATCATATTGCCGCTCAACACTTCAAAGCTGCCAGTCTCTCATACGCGTATATCGGTGCGATTTGTTTTATAATTCCTCGGTCGTCTCTCTATCTGATTAACAGTCCGCGCCGGCTTCCATCATTCCATTTTGCGGCGTCTCGGTAGAGAAGGGGTCATGGTCGGCTAGGTAGCCTGCATCTGCGAAAATGTTTTCGAATTCTGGTGAACGCAAGTCCGTCGATAGTCTATCGCAAGTTGTATCTCCTAATTCACACCGAACAGACTTCCCCTTCCATAGGTATTGTAGCCGCGACTCTTCAACAGGAGGTAGAGACTAACTGCTTCCCAAGGCAAGGTTCTACAAGTGTGCATTCTCAAAGACGAGGCTCGACGGCAAGCTCCACCCATTCAACCGGAGGATCGCTAGATACCACATCAGGTAGCTGGGCAGGTGATGTATTGGAAACAGGGCGAAATTGTATACTATAGTCCTCTCAATTTGTGTTTAAAGCATGAGCTAATACCTTGAAAAGCGATATCGACATTACTACAACCGCCGATAGTACGAACGGGACTTCTACCGCATACTTCCGCTCCAGCATCAAGTGCCCACAAGCCTCCGACTGCACGCGATATCCCTCCAGTGACACTGACAAACATCAAGCACGTTGACGCAGCAGAATTCGAGCCCTATTTAACTCAAGTCGTTGCATTATACGAACAATTGCGAAGGGTGAAGGAGAGCGAAGATGAAGCGGCAAATATCCCTCACAGAAGGAGCAGTAAAACGGACGAGTTTGCTGCCATCTTTGATGAGGGACACCTACGGGCGGGAAAGCCGCCATCAGCATCAAGGAGAAGCTCCGTCTCTATATCTTCGTTCTTGCCTATAGAAGCCCCTAGTCCGATTCGAAGATCTAGTTCAGGATTTGCGAGAAGACCGACGCAAGGGCCGCCGCCGTTGTCGACTATACCTAATGTGTATTTCGGCGAAGACTTCCACTTAGAAAATCCTCGCACGTTTGGCGTGGTCAGTGAGAGGTCGGAGGTTATTCGACCACCGTCGGGGACGCTGGATGAAAAGGCTTCAGCAAACGGAAATGCAGCGGTACCACGGAAAGCCCTCGCGACAAATGCGATATTACAGGAAAAGCTATCCTGGTACATGGACACAATCGAGATGCACCTCATAGCTTCCATTTCAACAGCTTCTACCACCTTCTTCACCGCATTAGTTTCGCTACGGGAGCTTCACTCAGAAGTCGCTGACTCCGTCGAGAAAATTAAGGCTTTTAAACAAGAGCTTGAGGCTTTAGATAACGAGATTGTAGTCAGCGGGTTAAACGTCATCCAGATGCGACAACGGCGGGGGAATCTCCAACAGCTACACGATGCAGTCCTACAACTAAAACGTATTATTGACGGCATTGCTACCTGCGAGTCTCTCGTCGAAGATGGAGAAGTAGAGAAGGCCTTAGAAAGTATCGACTCTCTCGAGAAGCTCATTGCTGGCGAGCCAGATCATTCGAAAAAGCCTTTAACGATAGGTGGATTTGATATCCAACCAAGAGATCTTAGGGGTGCAACAGCGCTACAAGGCGTCAACGACGATTTGGGTACTTTACGACTCAGAATCGGCAAACTTTACGAAACACGATTTCTCAGTCTACTTACGGGAGACCTCCGGTGCCACTCTGAAGTTGTCTCCACGCAGGAGGTACTCATACGCTGGACCAGTGCCTTCGTGCGGTCTCGAGGCGGCCGTATGCGGGAGCCTTCTGTCTTCCCATCCTATATGAGCTCAACAGACGGTCTTCGGTCCGAGCTACTTGAAAGCTTAACCGGCTTACACCGAGCGAAGCACCTCACTACTGCTGCCACATCCTATAGAGAGGCCGCACTAAAAGAAATTCGCAATCTAGTTCGGCGGCCTCTACCTACTTCAAACGATGATGACAACGAGTCAATGGTCTCTTCGTCAACCGTGACAGGAAGGAGACAGTTGTCCCAGCAACAGAAATCGACCATTCTAGCTCGCCATCTACGAGCTCTTGAGCCTAAAGATGCTGAAGAACTACTGGTCAAAATTTATATTAGCGTTACTGAGACCCTGAGGAGGTTAACGACACAAGTCAAGCTGCTGCTAGACGTTTCCAGCTCGTTAGGTGACGACTGCAGTCCTTCAAGGCTAAGATCTCCTCAGATGAAGTCGCCACTTCCTAGTCCTACCGCTAAGTCTTCTATTGCCGCGCTTAAGGCACAAGAAATCCATAAAGCGATAGACCTACCAAACCTCCTAGGTCAAGCTATAGATGTCGCACAGGATAAGATTATAAAGCTCCTCCGGGTTCGTTCAGAGCAGAGTACACATCTATCACCAATCTGGTTCCTCCGATATTTTACTCTAAACCTCTACTTCGCTAGCGAGTGCGAATCAATCTCTGGGCGGAGCGGTACAACCCTAAATACAGTCGTTAATGGGCAAATCAAAGACTTTCTACAGCAGCATAGCGATACGGAGAAGCAAAAGCTTGCCCAGGGTATGGAATCCGACCCATGGGAGGCAAAGGATTTTTCAGAGAAAGACACAGCCGAGCTCAACAGGATTCTATCCTGTAGTACAAAGGACCCGGCTGAATGGTCGGATGATCTGAAAATTTGGGTTCCGTATTCAGATGATGATCCCGAGTCTATCAATGGGGCTGATGATCCGCATCCCAATGGCGGCGGCAAAACCAGGATTAGGAACGCGTCCATTGACGACGAAACATTTGTACTTCCTAGCTCCGCAATTCTTTGCATGGATGGCATATCCCACTTCTTGCAACTGATAGTTGGCATCCCATCGATGACCTCAGAGATCGGGGCGTCATTAGTCTCCTATCTCCAGCTTTTCAACTCACGCTGCGCAGAACTTATCTTGGGCGCAGGGGCTAGACGGTCTGCAGGCTTGAAGAACATTACCTCGAAGCACCTAGTTCTCGCATCGCGGGCGTTGGCATTCATAGCAACCCTGATCAGCTATGTCCGCGAGTTTGTCAGACGCTACGCCGAAGGTGGTGCTGCTGCCTTGAGTGTCGTGGAGTTTGACAAGGTCAAGCGTCTCTACCAAGAGCACCAGAACAGCATTTATGACAAGCTAGTCGAGATCATGAGTCGCCTGGCCGCCTTGCAGGTAAAGGCTATGAAAACTATTGACTGGGACGATGGCCAGAAGAATGTGCACCCCTACATGGCGGCGTTGGCCAAAGACACGACCTCGTTGCATCGCATCCTAACTAAGACCCTACCAGAAGGAACTATTCGTATGCTCATGAGTCCGGTCTTTATCAGTTATAAGGTTCAGTTCGGCAAAGCGTTCCAGGAGGTAGATCCCAAGACGGAATTCGGTCGGGACAGGTACGTCTATATGTGCCCTAAGCAGCTTACAGCATGTGCTAACTCGGCACAGTATGCTACATGACGTCGAGTTCTTCGGATCTAAACTAGGCAAGATGGATGGCTTTGGTGATACTGGAGAATACCTGACCACAATTATCAAGTCCAAGCGAGTCAAGAGCGAAGCGCCAGCCGCTCCAGTCGCCGCCGAACCAGAAAAGAAAGAGACGGAAGAGACGGTAAAAGAGGAGGCAGAAGCAAGAAGTGGAGGAGGTATGGGCTAAAGGAGATCAAGACATGGCTTTGGAAATGTACTACGCATTGGCCAACGGAGGAGCGCCCTGGCCTTCCGTCCCCTCCGTAAGCGGTGTTCGAGTTCATGCGGTGTCTGCGGCCATCCGGCGGACCATACGGGGGCGTCGGGGCAGTCTAGGAGGCCATGGAGAACGGTATCGGGGGATGGTGCTGGGCGTCAGCTTTCGTTATCAGGAACAGAGATGCCAACACCATACGCAGCGGTGCTCCGTGGAACCGCGGTAAGGATCGTGCAGGCCCATGGGGGCGTACAGCCCCACGCCTTCCCGGTAAGCCTCTTGCTTAACGTGGTCCGAAAAGAGGAGCGTTCGGCCTAACCAGACGCCGAGGCAGCGGGCTGACTGCTGGGGGGTTAAGGACTGTATCCTTGTCAAGGGTAAGCGTCGTGGTTGGGGGCGCGTGGCTCGCCTCTCGGGGTGGGACCACTCCGTCACGTCAGCCCAGGCTTCCCGTAGAAGACGACGGCAGAAGCCTGCCGTGCGGGCGATGGCGGGGGGTTCGTGTCGTCGGCATATCCTACGGTGATAATCTGGCGGTGGCGGCTGAGAGTCTATAGTGGTGTTGTTAATGGGATAGATCGGATAGGGGAAAGCGGCGAACCTTGCAGGACGCCCGGGAAGACGGGGCACGCGGGGGCCGTCTTCCCGTCACAGAGCCCGAAACGACGCGCATATCCGAGTTTGGCCAAGGCCACGAAGCGGTCTCGAAGCCGCGGTTCGAGATGCTCACCCGTGTACTTCCGATATACCGCCGATAGTTATCGTAAGTAAATATAAACGGATCGTGCTCCGGGCACCGATTCTAGCCTTATCCTTTCGTATTAAGTACTTCGTGACGTGGCCAATTAGATATTCCGTAACCTGGTCTCAGCTGTCCGAGTTTTCGGACTGGCAACTCTTCCGTTCATCTTTCGAGTTGCCTGTGATGCTCAGTATCTCGTCTTTCTCGACTTCCCCCTATCCATTTCACGCTGCGAACTTTGTAGGCCTGAACGCGGTTCAGGGTAACAAACCAACCCCCCGCCAACATGGAGATCGTCCAGTCAAACGAGGCATTCAAGACAGTGGCCGGCAAATTTCAGTTCCAATATGTAGCGGGTATTGTACGGAATGGCGGCGTCCTCTATACCGCCAAATGGGTTGATCGAAAGCAGAAGCCTTCCGACTTCTCCCAGTTATACGATGTGCAGCCATTAAAGACGGAGGACAGAGGCCCGGCTGTGAGTCCCACTTGGGTGGTAGGGCCCGCCGATAATTGCTTCGTTAAAACACCAAGCCTCTTCGGGTACGCCAGCAAGTCCGACCTAGAGAGACGAATTCTTCGTGAAGTTGAAACCTGCGAGACACTGAGGGATCACCCCCATCGGAACATTGCTTCTTATCTCGGCTACCGAGAGACTCGAGGGCGAGTATCAGGTCTTTGTTTCAAGCGGTATACATCAACGTTGCTTGAGAGAGTTAACCCCGGACATCTGAACAAATCTGCCTTCCGCTCGAGCCGCCGACCTTCCATTGACAAGAAACTCGAGTCAAGTCTGGCTGGGATCCTGGAAGGCATTCGACACCTCCACTCGCTCGGCCTCGCCCATAACGACATCAACCCTGCTAACATCATGTTCGACGAGGATGACACCCCTGTCCTTATCGATTTCGACAGCTGCCGCCGGTTTGGGGAGTCACTGCGCGACACGGAGACAAAGAGGACACACGGATGGCACGACACGAAGGTCGAGGTCGCGTTAGCAAAAAATGACCTCGACGCCTTTCTTGAGTTGCAGACCTGGTTTTTTGGGTCATCCTCTGATGAGTTTCTGTTGAAAGGATAGATGGTTTGGGGGAGGTTCAATACCTATTACCACTTATCTACCTGAGGTAATGTCACGTAAGGCTGCCACCTCTCCTACTTACCGAAGGCGCTGGGGTTATAAAGCGTATCGCGCGACGTTGGGCCGCGCCAGGGAAAAAAAAAAAAAAAAAAAAAAAACCCCAAACTCCCCAAAAAACCCGCCCTTAAAAAATGATGAGGTCTGATGACTACATTCTGCAGAAGTCAGAAGTGAGGGCCACGAAGGGGCAGGGAACTAACCCACCTAGGTAGGCATGACAAGGAGCGGAAAGTCGGTCAAGGGCGAGGCGAGGATACTACATACCTAGGTACCTTTCTATAGTAGGTACCTACCTCTACATGCCCGTGTGCATACCGACAACGTACGTGCTAATAGGTACCTACCTTAGGTACCTGTGTAGGGCGCAAGCGGGAAATCGTTTCATCCAGCTTCATCTCCTTTTGGGTGCTGCCTTCGTGAATTAACCAATGTATGAGGTATACACACACATTGGGAGGGTAGATTGGGTGCGTGAGGTTACAGGCATATATATAAGCCGTGTGCCATTGTGGGGGAAAGTCCTTGATAGATTTTGCAGAGGCTGGATGGATTGAGTGCGTGTGTGTGGGCGTGTGTGTGGGCGTGTGTGTATACCTAGGTACCTATGGTGTGTGTGCGGATGGCGGAGGAGGAGGTGGTATTGACGTACCTACCTAATGTACCCAAGGTGCCTGCAATGCCACGGGTGGTGCGCCAGTGGACCCCAACAGGTACCTAACCTGACATGCACACCTACGTTATGCTCATACATAGGTACCACCCACTACGTAGTAGATGCGATGCGCTGGCAAGACCGAGCAGGGATATGGGGTCCCCTCATCACCAGGCAGGTACATGAGACGTGGATTGAAGTACCTTAGGTACCTACCTAGGTGCTAGCTTTAGCCGATGCTTGCCTTGAAGCATGGTTCGCCGAGGATTGGGTTGCGGAGACGATGCGGACCCGCGAAATATTGATATACTCATAGGAGGAGGTAGTTATACCTACCTACCTACCTATACCCGCCTGCCTATGTAGGTGCCTAACGGATTGTGTGGGCACCTCCTCTAAGACCCTCTACACATCTCGGTATCGGAGGACTATCGCAACAGGTAGGTAGACGGAGGTTGCGGCGATGGCAGATAACGGATGCTGCTGCTAGGTACCTAAGTAGGTAGGTATGTTATGGGCATAGACGTAGGTACCTTTGCTAACCCTTAATTACACCTATACGAACGCGGCCCCGAGAGCGTCTGATATATATCCCTAAGTGTGGTATATTATATATATATATATATATATATATGTTTATATACCTACATTATATGCATGGGCAACGCGCGGGGGCCGCAGCAAAAGCCACCGAGGGTCAGCTTAGTACAAGTCATGTCGGCACGCCTAGTATAGACGCCCCGAGCAAGCTGCCGGTGAGCTGTGCCTACGGCAGCCTGTATTCGGTATCGATCTTGCGTCGAGGCTGTTCCGATATGGGAATGAGAATGCTTCGCCACGCGGCCGGGTAGGCAGAGTTGGCATCATCGCATAGCCCAACACTGGTAGATGTGCTTATCTACCTGAGTATATACTTGCCCATCCTTTAGAAGCACGTCACTAACCGAGCCAAGCGCGCGCTACCTAGGTAGGTGTGGATAGGTAGCCGCGGGAGACTTACCCAGGTGCCTCTTAGGTACCCGAGGCCCTTACCTCTTCTCTTATGTTAGGTACCTAACATACCTCCGACTGCTGTAGGGAGTTACATGCCGCAATCGACAGGTAGACCAATCGACTAGGTACTATACCTGACGGCGGATTGGATCCACACAACCCTACCTGCCTCTAATGCATGCATGCGTTCGGGCTGAAGGCCGCGGTTGCTTCGGTGGCCAAACATGTAGGTACATAACCGGCCTTGGGCACGTCGTGCGAGCGGTCCTGTACGTGGGTAGGTACCTATGATTGTAACGTCCGCTGGGGACTACGTGGTAGTGTCTTCCATACCACAATACTCCGCGCACCTCGTCTCTCCTTAGGCACCTTAGGTACCTACCTACCTCCTATCGCCCAAGGTGCGGGTTATAGGGAGTACCTATTATAGGAGGCTGTGTGTACCTTCAACGCCGCGTATTACCCGCCCGAAACCCCGACACAGGTAGGTATATTAGGTACATATACCTACATACTGGGATACCGTACCTACATGCATGCTCGTGTGGTTCCGCCGTCTGGTAAGGCTCTCCCGCCCCTCCAATCGATATCCTCCTCCCGTTCTCCCCCCATCCGGGCCAATCCCTCTCTTTGCCCGAATGCGCCGCTAACCACCCGATCCGCCGGTCTTCGATACGGCTCGAGATTAATTGCGATTGAGCGACTGATGATTATCGTGGGTACGGAAAGAATCCCTTGCCTTCCCCCCCCCCGGTGGTGCATATAGGTCGCACGCTACCTACATGGACTGGCAAATTCTGATGGGGCCACGGATGGCGAGGCCTCTGCGAATCCATGGCGGCGATGCAGGGTCGGAAACCTCATCCGCAGCGGCGACGACGATACCTCGCATCTGAGCAGGAGGCACACGTGCCGGGGTTTTTTTTCTCTCTCTCTTGTCGGCTTTTCTCTGCCATCGCAGATCGGACGGAACCCAGCCGACCAGCCAGCTGGGATGACAGTTGGTCAGCCAAGCACCGTTGCTGACTGTATTCAACATAGTGATCGAACGGCCTACCGCCTATGTATACCTATGAGTAGGTATGTCCTGCGCGCCATCCAACACGACGCAACACGGGCACCTTCATGTCGGTACTATCCGACATCCCCGATTACGCCGTCATCGTTAGCGCCACTTCTCCGCGCACTCGTCTCCTTGACCGACTACTAGGGCGCCCCCTTCTGCAGAGGGACGAGACGGAGCGTATCCTAACCTGGATGCTACTCCGTAGAGGCGCTCGCGAGGCTATCGAGGAAGCAAACGGTGCATTGATGCTACATTCTACATTGAATGCGCACACGCCTACCCGTACATCTCCTCCGTCGGATCATCGACATCACCACTACCACCATCAGTCTCTTCCTCCACTTTTACTTCTTTGGGGTCCCCAGCCTTTCGTCAGGGTTGCATGACATATATCTCCAGAAATATACCTGCCAACCCGGCTAACCCCCTCAGGCAACCCCTTATTCGGTTCCCTTGATTACCCTTACAACACGGCACCGAACTACCGCAGTCCAACAAGAGGAGGAATTTATCGCAGCTAGATCCCTCCGCCTAACAGGTCGTATTTCAACCCAGCTTGCCAGCAGCCGACATACATAACATGACATGTCCCTTCACACACACACACACACACACACACACACACACTGGAGCATGCACACACCACACACACGTACAGGCACAGAGGCACAGCACACACATACATACGCATGCCTGAATAGCCTGGTTCGCTTAGCCGACCTGGGCGTCCATCGCTCCTATCCGCATACTGGACAGGACCAGGCGATTCAGCCCTCCCAACATATAAAGACTATATAAAGAGAAAGATAGAGAGAAACACACACACACACACACACACACACACACACACACACGAGACTCGGCGGAGCAGGACCCGTCTAGCAGCATTTGCAGGTTCGCAGCCACCCGCGTGTTTCTGTGTCCCCTGGGCACAAAGGCCCTCAAGGTACAAGACTCTAGGCGAGAAGAAAGGAGGGGGTGTAGATGCTTTTGGGTGCAGACAGCCGCGTACTTGGCAAGTGGACGGAGTGGATCGGACAAGGATTCGAACTGGACCAGGATAGATGCATGTCTTAGCGGACCACTCACACTTTGACCTGGCACACAACTCACAAGCTCCCGCCCCCTCATCCACCCTCTTTTTTTCTCCCTCCTCACCCAAAGTTCTGAAGCCGATCCAAACAAATTCAGACCCTTGTTGACGAAAAGGCGTTGCGCTGCCCGACAGCCACCCTTCCTCTCCCTCCCCCATCCCAGCTCGCCCGGCCCAGCGCAGGGGGCCCAACCAAGCCAAACCAAGCGGTCCCAAGAGGGCCTAGCGCCAGGGAGGGAAAAAAAAAAGAGAGACAAAAAAAGAAGAAGAAAAATAAAGGAAGAACAGAAGCACAAGCTGCGTGAGTGTGCATGCGTGCGTGCGTGCGCTTGTGTACCTTGTCGTATGGGTGTGAGACTGCTTCCTTGGACTCTCTCGGGTCGAGCGAGAATCTGATAGATTTCCCATCCCTCTGTGCTTTTGGCTCCTGCACTACGTTGATTTATCCGTCCGTCTCAATCTTACCACCATACTGCAAAATCATCTTGACCTCGTGCTGCCGACGTTGCCTTTATCCTCGTCTCGCTTCCCCGAGTGTTTCTTGCGCCAGTTTGCACAACTTTATATGAGAAGCGCGTGTCAGTGGGAGGTTGGCCGGTCGTGGTGGGAGAGAAAACTGACATTTGCTGGAGCGGGAAGAGGACTTCGAGCCATCTCCTCAATAGCCCCCCCCCCTTCTCCCCTCATTCCCATCGCGATCCAGCGTGTCGTGTTTTCGGAGGTGTTGGCACTGCACTGGCGTTGGTGCTGGTGTTGGTGCCCTCCTCTGAGCTCTTCAGCTTGCTGACCTACCTACCCTGCCTGGCCTCCTACCCCCATCCTACCGCGTAATATACATAGCTATAACCTGCCTAGGCACTACTGCTAGGCGGGTAAGTAAAGCAGTTAGGCGGCCATGGATTCTCGACAACCACCGCCACCGCAACTCCCCTTTGCACGCAACGCTGCATCGCCGTCCTACGCTCGATCGCCTTTCCCTCCCGTGTCGAATCCGAGCTCGGTAGCCATCACGACGTCCTCGACCTTCCATCCGGTGAATCCCGCGCCTACAGGTCCCGCTGCTGCATACAACGAGCACCAGCGACGGCTGTCCGATACAAATCCCTACTACCCGCAATCACGGCCGCCCTACGCGTCGGAACCGACGTCGCATCCCGCGCCCACCCATTCGCGACACCAGAGCTCGTCCTCCATCGGTACCCCCTTGACTCGGGCTATGCCTCCGCCGTCGCCTCCTCAACAACAACACCCGGCCCAGCAGTCGCCTCCAGCTCCTCATCCTCCTCCCCATCAGATGGGCCATTATGGGGGTCCACCTCCACCGAGGGCTCCGCCCGTAAATCTCGGTCCTCCAAGCGCCTTCCCATCGGGCCGGGAACTTCCCGCGCTCAACTCGATTCCTCGGACGGGCGGTACGGGGGGGAGCATGTCGATATCTTCCATGCTTGGCGGCCCTCCTCCATCGGCTCCTCGCGAACCTACCCCAGGTCATCCGTCGTCTTTTCCGCCGCCCGCCACCACATCTGCCGTCTCGGCACCCACATTTGCGGCGTCCGTTCAGGCCTCCCCTAGGATGCAGAACGCAAACGATTATCCCTCCTATGGCCGCAGACCTCAAACGCCCGAACCGGGTAGACCGTTTGATGCGAGGGATCACAGAGGCAGCGCCGCTGGATCTCCACCTCAGGGTATGTACGGAACCCCTGAGTTATCTCGTTACAATACCCCGCAGGCGTATCCTTCGCGCCCTCCCCCTATGCCACCGCTCGAAGAGAGACGGGAGCCGCCGGGGAGGATTCCGGCCGCCAACGTACCTCCTCGACCTAGTAGCCAGCCCAGGTCCTATCCCGGCATACCTCCAAGATCGGTAGAAATGGGAAGGGCCCCGCCACCAGGAGATCCCGTGTACGTTAGGCGAGAAGACCCGCGCCCCCCCCCTCTCGCGGAGTACAATCCAGACCGACCGCCCCGTGGCATACCCTTCGAAGAGCAACGCCGTTTCGTGTCCGACCGAGAAATTAGAGAACAGATGGACAGGGAGGCCGAGTTCAGAGAGCGGGAGCGAAGGGAGAGAGAGAGAATGCATTTCGAGAGCCAGCGCCCTTTCCTGGCGGAAAGAGAACGCGTCGAAAGAGAGCGGGAGAGGGAGAGGGAGGTGGAGAGGGAGAGGGAGAGGGAGAGGGAGAGGGAGAGGGACAGAGAGCGGGAGAGAGAGAGGGAACGGGAGAGGGAACGGGAGAGGGAGAGAGAGATGGAAATGCATGAGAGGGCAAGGCGGGAAAGGACGACGTCGGACCCGAGTCGCCCACATGCCCAGCACCTGGGCGACCTAGGTCCCCAGGGTCCTCCCCCACGACAGCCTCCGTATGGGAGGCCCGACCCTCGAGATCCCGCCCCCTGGCAGCAGCGACCGGCCTACGATCAGCCGCCGAGAGAGGCTTACGGCCCGCCGTATCCCGGCCCCCGACCAAACGACATACCTCCGACGACATCAGCAGTACCTTACGGATCCCATCCCGCCTACGCCCAGCCTCCGCCTCACGATCGATTCCCGGCGGCCGCCCCGCCTCCACACGTCTTGCCCATGGGTCAGCCAGGACCTCAACCTGCACATGCCTTCGAGTCTCCCGACAGACATCGATTCGTTCAGACACATCCTCAACAGCAACAGCCGCCGCCACCACCGCCGGCGCCGCCTGTTCACAGGGGGCGACCAAACGAGGAAGGTCCGCCGCCGCCTTCGGTCGCTTATAACGGAGGGCCGGGCTCGGCCACTTTCGAGGCAAGTCGGCCGCGTGGCATGGATGAGGGGCCACCTCCTCCTGCTGGACACCAGAGAAATTTCCTTACCATCCAAGAGATAAACCGCAAGGGACGAGTGTCTCCCTTGCCGCAGGCAGTCCAGGGCGCACAGCCTCAGCTCCAAGGCCCTGCCGGCGAGCCGGGGATTAAAAGTGAATTCGGGCGTATGTTCTCTGGAATAGGGAGCGGCGTTCGCGGCATCAATGTCCCTAGCCCAGTGCCGTCCGGCGCGCAGCCTCAGTTTTCCAACGCCAGCTTGGTCCGCCATAGCGACGACCATCCGAGCCACGAGCTGCTCCCAGACGCGCCCGTAAAGACGGCGGCGAGGGGAAAACGGAGGAAGGCTAAGGACGAAGACGGTAAGGGTGATGATGATAGCACCGGAAGGATCACGCCGGTGGGCCGGGCGAAGAGACCCAAGACTCACGCCCACCACCATCACCAGTAAGTAACAACTCTTTATCTTCCACGCCCTTCAGCCGGTATTCATTGTAAAAAAAAAAAATAGTCACCATCACCACCATCATCATGGACCGGAAAGAACCACTTCACCCCTCCCAGCTGCGAATGGACAACTCAAGAATCTGAAAACTAGCACACCGGTACCATCTCCAACACGCAAAGACTTCACTGCTTTCACCCACCATCACCAGCCTCCCAGGTCAGTCGCGGCGCCGTCTTCGAAGCCGGCGGCACCCGGTTCGACCGTCATCCCGAAACCGAAGCAGAGGATCTCGTCTCAGGCAGTCCTCGACAGCGTCGCGGATCGGCCGCGGAAGCATCTAGGAGACGTCGTGTACCAAGTGGTTTTGAAGCCAGCCAAATTGTACTCATCTCATTCTAAATTTGGTTACTCGTCTAATCCGCGCCCGCTCCCAATGGAAGTGATCAAAGGTAACGAGAATTCGACCCTGACGGTCAAGATCCCGCGTGTGCACCTGAGCTCCCCTGCCCGCGAGGAGATCACGTCGCGTCGAGCTGTCTGGGGCACGGACGTCTACACGGACGACTCTGACGTCGTCGCGGCGTGTATACACGCCGGCTGGATTCGGGGTCAATGGGGCGAGGACGTGGATGTCGATTTGCTGGACCTGTACAAACCTCCTGCGTCGAAGAAGCATCGCGGGGCGCCTGCCGAGCAGCAGCAACATCTCGAGGTTCTGACCGCACCCCCGGCTTCCGGTCCTGCCCACGTGCCCACGGATCGCGACCTGCATGTCACGCTTCTGATCTTGCCTGCGCTCGACAAGTATAGCAGCTCAACGCGTTTCGGCATCCAGAGCCGCGAGTTCGGCGGCACGTACAATGGACGGAGGTCGATACACGACGGGATCAGCTTCATGATCTTGAGCGTGCGTTGGGTCGACGGCGCGGCTCCGCAGAGCCGACTGCGAGGCAAGGCACGCAGGGAGCGAATCCGGAAGGCGATGAGCGAGGTCAACCGAAGCCAGGTTGTGGACATTGGCGAGGGAGAAATCCTAGCCAAGCCCGTTCTGGCAAGGGACGCCAGCACCTGCAAGGAGCAGAGCGGTGTTACTGGCAAGAGGGGGGCCGGAAACGGGGATGGAAATAAGGAAAACTATCCCGTCTCGACACGTATCGTCCCTTCGCCAGGCCACCGACCTCCGGGGACGGAAACGGGGCCAGACGCGGACGGCAAGGTCAACGAGAAGAGCGGCTCAGCAGAGAGCCAGGACGTTACCATGGACAATAGCACTTCGGTCGCCACCATTAACGGCGGAGAACGGCCACACAAGCGCGGGACCGACGAGCTTACAAAGTAAGGCGAGAACTCGCGTACCTGTTCAACGATAAAACCGAGGAGTGGAGAGATTCGGGGGTAGATTTGGTATGGAGATGATTGGAAGCAGGAGGGGGGGGGGGGCACACGTAGGGCAGAGAGACAGGCAGACCGTCGCTTTACCGCCTTGTCTTGTACGCCTTTATAGCGGAGGTACATTATTGCTACCCATTTCGCCCCAATTACCTACCTCTCTGCTAAGGCATAGCGCGGAGTTCTGAGCGAGACTATAATGTATGTATATATACATATGCTACATAAACATTCATTTGACATATACCTCACGACGCACCTCACTACGTGACCAAGCAACTAAACATTTCGATATTAAAGGTCTATAATGTATGGACGTTAGGCGTACCATGCAGTCTTTAGGCGGCTCCCGTCTCCTCGACAGGCCCAGGTGTGTTAGGAGGCGTGTCTCAGTGTGGGATCAAAGCGATTCGGCACACCAGGAAGTTTGTAGACGCGTAGCCTAACGTTGCTGCCAGGAACTGGCTGCGCATTTGCCGTTAGTAAATAGATAGGATAAGTTACGGAGGTTTACGAGTCAACGTTACAAGGTGATGAATTTGTGTATAGGCATATGTCTGCGTGAGTATTATACCTCTTAGGTAGGTAGGTAGGTACCTAGGTATGTACGACGAAAACCCGAGGTATGTGACAGATAGTTACCTGTCAGGGCTCCCTCCCGCTCGCGCGTAGACATCCCGGTGGTTCCTCTCTGCAAAAGCCCACGGCTGGGGCCCGTACTCGGGGATAGGGTACGCCCTAACCCCCCCCCCCTTCCCCCCGCGGCAACCCACGACATACGGCCGGCATCCCCGACAGCGCTGCCGGCCTGTACCACACGGCTAGACAACCGCTCCTCTTCTCTCCTCTGGCCGGCGGGCTCGCGCAGCGCGTCAGAGACCCAGGTTTGCCCCCCCCCCCCCCCCCCCCCTCCTCCCCGGCGACGTAGCCGCCGGAATCGAATCGAACCGAATCGGGCGGGAAGGGGCGGGGCTCAGAAGTCGGTGACGCGCCCGTTGAAGCTGTAGTCGCCGCCGGGGCCCCAGCGCAGCGGCTCGTTCTTCGGCCCGCCGACCTCGCCGGTGCGCGGGTTGACGTCGCCGTCGAACTCGGGCGGCGCGCCCTGGCGCAGCGGTAGCGGCAGGGCAGACGAAGGCGAAGGAGCCCCGGAGCCGGGCGTCGACGTCGGCACGAACCCATCCTCGGTGCCGGCGGCGTGCTGCAGCCGCTCGAACTCGGCTTGTTGCTCGGGCGGCAGGCGCGGCGGGGCGGGCGCGGAGCGGAAGAGGTTGTTGCTGGTGCTGGTGTTGCTGTTGTCGTGGGGCGGCGAGGAGGAGGAGGAGGAAGAAGAAGAAGAAGAGTGGTGGAGAGGACGGCGCTGGATCGGGTGTCGGGGCACGGGAGCCGAGGCCGGAAGGAAGGGCAGCGCCCGAAGTGCCGCGAGGGACGGGCGCGCGAGCCGCAGAGCGCGAGATGCCATTCTCAAGGTCGCTGGAGAGCGAGCATGCTACGATGCTTCGATGCGGGTGGGCGGAGAGCGTATACCTATGATGAGGCGGTCTAGGCGGGAGAGATGTCGACGTCTTCTTCGCCCCGAGAGGAGAGGATTGTACGGATGGTAGAAGAGGGATTGCATTGCCTGCCTAGGAGGTTACCTCGTAACCTGATATTCACATTGGTGAAGGTCGTTCTTAGATAATCCTTGCTAGGTACCCGTACTGAAGTACACTCCGGTTTGTACTTAGTACAGGTACTTGGACACCCAAGGTACCTACCTCCAACCCGGCTGCGTCGGCCGAGGGAGTTTAGGTGCTTACCTAAGAACGCACGTCACGTCCACTTCCTAGATGGGCACTCTAGCAGGTAGGTTAGGTACTTACACTCTAGGTACTAAGGCCTTAGAGGTAGGTACCTAACATACGAGCAAAGAGGTATCTTAGAGGGACATCCTGAATCCTGCTGGTCCCTTGCATCAGCCGGGGGATCTGGCCAAGGTGACGAAAGCGGTATGGCGTCGCGCCTCGACGGCTAGGTAGCGCCGTAACGCCGTAACAGCGACTACCTGGAGGGGGAGGGGCTGCGATGGCGGGGCGGCGAGATTGCTACGATTGCCTAGGGTTCTCTGCCCAGGCTGATTAGGGCTAAAGGTGGTGAGTAAGAAGGGGACAGGAGACATCCATCGCCTCCGACTATCGCTTTGGGAATCGAAACATACCTACCTACAACCTCAGTCCCGTCGCAAGTCGCAGCGGCTGCAAAGCGTGTGCGAAGTGTCGACTGAGTCATCCTCGGCCGCCGTCGGCAGAGCACCGGTCGGCAAGCCTCGAAAGCGCTCCTCTGCTAGGTAACTCACCACCTCCCTAACCTGCCTTGGGTGCCTGCGTACTGCGACGGCTAGGTACCTACCTGTTGATACCGTTATTTATACTGCCGTCGAGACGAAAATCTCTTGCTTCGTCTCTGCCACGTCTTCTGCCACTTTTCTTTCTTTCCCTCCTCCCTCGTCTACCGCTGCCTTCGCCCCCTCCGCCTCCCCACCGTCTTCCTCTCCGCTCTCTGCCGGGCCCGACCCATTGGCCCCAACCCGCCGCTATGGAAGCCATAAGACAGGTGTTCCGCCGTTGCAAGGCAGAAAATCGGGTACGTTCCTTATGTCGAGAGAGTAGATGCGTCGGCGACGTGGTGTGAGATATACCTAGTAGTTCGGCCACCTCTGTCTTGCTATTCTGTCCCCAGTTCCCGGTGTAAGAGCAGCCTTCTGATGGGATCGCGCCATTCCTCTCTATCTAGGCCGCCCTGGTGGCTTATATCACTGCTGGCTATCCAGAACCCGAGGAGGCCCCCGATGTCCTACTCGGCTTGCAGAAAGGCGGCGCCGGTACGTTACAGCGAACGAGCTCGCCCCCCCCCCCCCTTCTCCCGTAGCTAGGACGTCCCCATTCCAAAAGCCGGGGGCTAACTCGACCTAGATGTCATTGAGCTCGGTATACCTTTCACGGATCCCATCGCCGACGGCCCGACTATCCAGTTGTCTAATACCGTCGCCCTTACTAAAGGCGTGACTATCGAGTCCGCCCTAGGCATGGTTCGCGCGGCGAGATCGAAAGGCTTGACCGCCCCCATCCTCTTGATGGGCTACTACAACCCGCTACTAAGTTACGGCGAGGACGCCCTCATACGGGATAGCAAGGCTGCCAGTGTCAATGGCTTCATCGTCTGCGATTTACCCCCTGAGGAGGCCGTCTCCTTTCGGAAGCTATGCAGCCGGGGTGGGCTATCCTACATCCCCCTGATTGCCCCCGCAACGTCTGACGCTCGGATGCGCGTTCTTTGCGCCCTCGCCGACTCCTTCATCTACGTCGTCTCCCGCCAGGGCGTCACCGGCGCTCTGGGCACCTTGAATACCCATCTGCCAGACCTCCTCGCGCGTGTCAAGGCGTACAGCGGCGACAAACCTACCGCCGTCGGCTTCGGCGTGTCCACGCGGGAACACTTCCAGTCGGTGGCCTCCATCGCCGATGGTGTCGTCATAGGGTCACAGATCGTCACTACACTCCGCGAAGCCGGGCCTGGAAACGGCCCCAAGGCCGCCCGAGAGTACTGCGCCTACGTAACTGGGCGGACGACAAGCCCCGAACAAGAAGCGACCCGCGAAGTGGGTATAATCGAGGCCGTCAGCGGTGCTAGGGAACCTAGCGGCGAGAAGGTGACGGTTAGCGGGGTCATTTCTGAGAGCGACGATTCGGCCTTGGTTAAGCAACTCACTACGCTTCACGGCAAGATCCCCGAGAAGTTCGGCGAGTTCGGTGGCCAGTACGTGCCCGAGGCTCTCATGGACTGCCTGTCGCAGTTGGAGGACGGGTTCGTCGCCATCAAGGACGATGCCCAGTTCTGGGAGGAGTACAGATCTTACTACCCCTGGATGGGGCGGCCTGGCCACCTGCATCTGGCCGAGCGTCTTACCGAGCATGCCGGTGGCGCCAATATCTGGCTCAAGAGAGAAGATCTAAACCACACCGGATCTCACAAGATCAATAACGCCGTGGGGCAAATTCTCCTGGCGAGGCGACTGGGCAAAACCAAGATCATCGCCGAGACCGGTGCTGGCCAACATGGTGTAGCGACGGCCACAGTCTGCGCCAAGTTCGGCATGGAATGTACCGTATTTATGGGTGCGGTAAGCTTCGAGAGCCTCTACTCCTCCAAATCTCCCCGTCTCATTGCTCACATGCCGCCACGTTCTAGGAGGATGTGCGTCGTCAAGCTTTGAACGTCTTCCGGATGCGACTACTCGGCGCCAAGGTTATCGCTGTCGAAGCGGGCACCAAGACCTTGCGCGACGCCGTAAACGAGGCGCTTCGCTACTGGGTCGTCCACCTCGAGGACACGCACTATCTTATCGGGTCCGCCATCGGGCCCCATCCTTTCCCTACCATTGTCAGGACCTTCCAATCGGTCATCGGAAACGAGACGAGAGCACAGTTCCTAGAGAAGCGCGGAAAGTTGCCCGACGCCGTCGTCGCTTGCGTAGGAGGAGGGAGCAACGCCACCGGCATGTTCTATCCCTTTTCGAACGACCTCAGCGTGAAGCTGCTGGGCGTCGAAGCGGGAGGCGACGGCATCCACACTACCCGACACGCCGCCACGCTCACGGGAGGGTCGAAGGGCGTCCTTCATGGCGTGAAGACGTACGTGCTACAGAGTGAGCACGGCCAGATCTCGGACACGCACTCCGTCTCGGCCGGGCTCGACTATCCGGGAGTGGGGCCCGAGCTCTCGTCCTGGAAGGATTCGGGGAGGGCCGAATTCATCGCCGCTACAGACGCCGAAGCCTTCACCGGCTTCCGGCTAATCAGCCAGCTGGAAGGCATCATACCGGCGCTCGAGTCGGCGCACGGCATCTACGGAGCCATAGAGCTGGCCAAGACGATGAAGAAGGACCAGGATGTGGTTGTCTGCCTCAGCGGGAGGGGAGACAAGGACGTGCAGAGCGTTGCCGACGAGCTGCCCAGGCTGGGCCCCGAGATCGGGTGGGATCTACGCTTCTAGGAGAAATAGGGCTGCCTGCCTTTCGACGACGACACATCGTATTCGATCCTCCTTGAATTCGGAGTTGGCACTAGGGTATAAAAAAAAAGGTAAACTAGATGAGAGACATATGTACGGTGCGTAGTTACCTAGGTGATATACATAGGTCTCGATTCAGATGCTCCGTATAATTTATATGGTACAATGCCCACGGCTTTGAATCGCTTTTTCGTTTTGGGATCTCGTTCATCCTATCTCAGTGTGCTATTTTTCGTCTAGACACGATGGTATATGCCTCTTCCCCCCTTTTATGTGGGCGCCAAGACTCACATGTGCTTGTCGCGAGCGGATTTTGGTTTAAGGCTTCGGGGGAGCATCGTCTTTCTTGGCCGCCGGCTCCTTGCCCTCTGCTATGGGCTCTTTCGCACCGTCGGAGGCGGCCTCGGAGGCCTTACTGGCCTCGACGACGGTCTCGGCAGCCTCAGCCTCCTCGAAAATACCGGCGAAGACGTCGGGCTCCTCGGCGGCGGGCGGCGCGGCGGGCGGCGCGGCGGCCACGACGACGTCCTCGCCGTCCTGGAGGTCGCCGATGACGAACTCGTCGCCGCGCCGGAGCATGGCGTCGACCTGGTCTCCGAGGGCGTCGGCGGAGGCGTCGGCGGGGGCGTCGGCGGGGGGGTTGTCGAGCCACTCAGCGTCGCCGTCACGGGGGGGCAGGCCGAGGGCGGCGCGCTCGCGGGCGAAACGCGCGCGCACGGCGGGGGACTGCATGACCTTCCAGCGGAGGGCCCAGCCGGCGGGGCCGAGGTCGCGGACGCGGCGGGCCTTGGGGCCGAGGAGGTATTCGTCGATGCCGCCGAGGCGGTCGACGGTGGCGAGGACGCGGGCGGTGAGGCGCGTGCGCACGAAGGCGCCCAGCGCCCGCGACCAGAGCCGCTTCGTGTGCCGGTTCGGGTGCCACCGCCGCCGCGAGTGGTTCCCGTGCGCCTCCGCCACGATGTTGCCGAACTGCACCTTCGAGCCCCCGAACAGCCCCGTGTTGCCCACCTTGTACGTGGTCGACCGCCCGTACGGGTAGTCCGGCACCTGGTCGGCTGGTACGGTTAGGTACGACGGCTTCTGGCGCGCGAGCGGGGCCGTGGTGGTGAAGCTGCGCGCGGGCGAGGGCGAGGGCGAGGTGGTGGCGCCAGCTCGTATACGGACGACGGACGCGGGGGCCGAGGAGACGAGGAGGAGGAGGAGTTGGCTCGGGGCCGGCGCGACGAGGCACTGCCACCGCGCCGGCGACAACGCCGCGGCGCGCATCGGCGGCGGCAGCATCTCGCAGGCTGGCGGGGTCGAGACTAGGCCTAGCTGCTGCTGCTGTGCGGTCGTGACATGGATTTCTCGCGGGCGGGAGAGATGGGGATGGCCGGGGGAATCGTGGCCTAATTCCGTTGCGGGAAGTAAGCGGGGGTTGTATAAGGTGTGTTCTTCTTGCTCTTCGGCTTCGTGCGGACGACGACGGGATAGAGAATTGTGCCGCGGCGAGAATTGTGACGGGCGTATGGGTAGCCAGGTCTGTGGCTTTAGGTAATCTACCTATAGGCAGGGTTGTAAAAAAAGTTTGAGTTTTTAAGTTAAGTTTTAAGTTTTTTAAGTTAAGGTAAGTTTAAGTTAGGGGTTTTTTAGCTTAAGTTAAGTTAAATTTAATTTTTTTTTTAATTAAAGTTAAGTTAAGGTTAAGTTTTTCTAAGTTTTTTCATATTAAATTTTTATAAAAAATCTATATTATATTTATTATATTTATTATATTTATTATATTTATTATATTTATTATATTTATTATATTTATTATATTTATTATATTTATTATATTTATTATATTTATTATATTTATTATATTTATTATATTTATTATATTTATTATATTTATTATATTTATTATATTTATTATCCTATCCGGAGGATAGTTATAATACGCATAACCCCCTATTATATTGATTAATTACGGGGTTAAATACCCTTGTAAATAGCCCTATAAATAACCCTATAAATAACCCTATAAATAACCTTATAAAGGGATATTATTTAAGAGAAACTCTGTTTTTACTAGCTAAAAAACGCGCTATGGGTCCCTAAAAATGCGTGTACCTAATAAAAACGGCGGAATAAATAAAGGTTTTCTTATTTAACGTATCCTTATTACCCCTTAAGATCCTTACGTATATTTACTAACGCGTTTATTTATACGTTTTTACTCCTATTTATATAATTTTTATTATTTTCCGTATCTTATAATTTATTCTTATAATCTATTCTTAGTTTAATTAAAATAAAGTCGCTTTAAGTTAAAGAATGTCGTACTTACGAAAGAATTTAAGCCATCGAGTAATTTATTAATCTACGAAATTACGCTATATCTATAAAAAATTATCTCTCTTATCGCGAAAATATACGCCGTCCTACTTAGGTTAATATTTTATATTAATAGTTTATATTCTACCGTTAATTCTATATAAGATTCCCGATCCGATCTTATGCTTAAAACGCTTTAACCGGCTTTACGATTAAATATTACTTATTATCGATTATATTTTATTACCGCGTAGCCTCGGGTATATAATTTAAGCGTTAAAGAAGTAGCTTTACGCGTAAGTAACGTATTACGATAATAAATTCGAAAATAATATAAAATAACCCGACGTAATAATGATAATCCTTTTCCTATTCCTTTACTTTCTTCGTAAATAATATAATTATAATTAATAGATTTAACGATAGCGCTAAAACTAGCGCCCCGGGGGCGACTTCCTCGAGTACTTACGCGAGAGCTAGCTCGTCGAAGCCGACCTTTACGTACGCTTACGTTAAAATAAGCGCGAGAGCTAGTTCGTCGAAGCCGACTTTTACGTACGCTTACGTTAGAACTAACGCTAGAGTTAGTTCGTCGAAGCCGACCTTTACGTACGTTTACGCTAGAATTAACGCTAGAGCTAATTCGTCGAGGCCGACCTTTACGCGCGTTTACGCTAGAATTAATACCAAAGTAAGTTTAAGTACGTCGAGGCCGACCTTTACGGCCCTTTACGCTAGAACCTCTTACGTTAAAACTAACGCGAGAATAACCGCGCCTAGGCCGACCTTTTAATTAAACCTTTTCCTTAAATACCGCTCGCTCTTAAGAACTTAATAACGTTTTTAATCGTTAAAACTCGTTTATAATTAAGCCGCTACGGTAAAAGGAAAACCTTAACGTTAACGTAATTAGCGATATCGATTACGCGATTTTAATATAGTTTTAATTAAAGCTAAAATAAGAACGACGTAAATACTATAGTCGTTACGGGAAGTATTAATTTAATATAGATCTAAATACCGCGAGTATTTATAAGCGTTATCGTAATAAAGACTAAAAAAGACGCGTAAATAAGTCCTTCTTTTTTAATATAGGTAATTATCTTAACTTTAGTATTCTTTTTTTTTAATTTATTATTAGAGCTTATAATAATCGAAAAACTACTTATTACGCGGGTTTACGTAATAATAAATATACTTATAATCCGCGGCTAATAATATAAATATCGTAACTACGTCGTATATTTTATACGTAACGTTAGTAAAGTATATAACTATCTTTTCTTTCTTCCTTAGTATTTTAATATCGTTTTATTACGCTTACGTAAATCAACGTAAAATCCCGAGTAAATAACCTAATTTCGACCTAAGTTTAAAATACGCCGGCGCGTTATCGAAATATAGCTTAAGTATTTAAAATATAATTACCCGGGTTATAAAGACTTTAAATAAAATCGCGCCGCGTTAGAAGAGCTACCTAACGACGGTAATATTTTTAAGTAGCTTAATATTTAAAACTTCGTCGATAACGGTTAAGCGTTTTAGGTTAACCTAGTTACGGAAAGCGATCTAAAAGGATTAAAGGCTTAATACGATAAATCTATTATACTAAACGTTATATTAAAGTAAATTAAAATAAAACGTTTAAAGTTAGAATTAAAAGGGGCGCTTATTTCTAAAGGTTATCCCGTTAAACTTATAAGTACTTATTATTTATCTATGCCTTTTATTCGCTAGACCCTTATTAACGAATTTATACGTTTAATTACGTTATTTTTACTAGCGTTTCCTACCTTATTTCCGCGTAAAGAAGCTAAATTTATATATCTAAAGTAACGTAAGATCGATTTCGATAATTAAATATAATACGTTATACGTTAACGCGATAATCGGTTCGCGTAATACCTTACTTTCCGCTTTATCGCGCTTAATATACTTATACGCTAATAAGCGATAATAATAAGTAAATATTTCGTAAGGAAAAAAGGCGCTTAGTAATAATAAATTACGCGGTAAAATCTCGAGTAAGCGTTAGAAAACCTTAAGAATACCGAGGCTAATACGTTATTAAAAAGTATTACGCGCGTTATAATTCATTTAAAGGATACGCGGCCTTTTTAATTTAAACGAAAACGTAAGTATGTTATTTTTACTAAGTACCTCGGGATTCTTAGCGCTTTTCTTACCTTAAGCCTTACTAATCTTTACTAACGGAGCCTTTTTTAATATATATTACGCTTTTAGGAATAACTCTCTTCCCTTAAAATCTAACGCATGCGCTTATCCCGCGAATTATTAAAAACTAATCCCTATATTACCGCGTAACATTTTTACGCTCGGAATTAACTCTTTCGTAATATCGTCTTAGTTAAGAAGTTCGGCTTATGCGATTATTAATATTAATACGAATTTTAAACGCGTAGGAGTACGTATTATTACGGGTTATTTTAATTCGAAGGTAATTCGTTACCTAATATAACTTCTTTCGAATAACGCTAAAACTATGCTCGTATTTAAAGCTACTACGCTTTTACGGTTAACCTAAAGCCGCGCCGGCGCTTAAATTAAAATAAAGATAATTCGCTCGTACTACGGCCTTTAAACGTATAGCCGTCGTTTCGTTAGCTTTCTTAGATTATTAATCGTTACTAACGCTATAAATATTCCCTTATATATTACTTCCGTATTAATAAACGTAAAACGCGAGAAGTAAAATAAAGTAATAGCGTTTTACTACCTTTAGAATGCCGATTTCTTTTCTCGCGGCCGTACCGCGTTTACGCCGAGATTATTATATAACCGTATAAAACCTAGTAATTATTTAAAGCGTAACGTAACGACGAATAATTAAATTAATATAATCGAATAATTACCTTTACTTAGTTAATTAATATCGATATTTCGCCTTATATTAGCGTAAAAGCTATTATAAATTACGTAACGAAGTATTACTTTAAAGCGGAAATTAAAACCGATAGTTATAGCGCCCTTATTAAGTAAATCCTTTTAAAGATTTCTAACGTAAATCTCCTTCTCTCTTTTATATCGAAGTTAATAAATAAATTAATCGAAGAACGAAATTACTTTACGTAAGAGGTTTACTATATATTATATAGGCTACCCTTATAAGCTAATTCGCGTATTATACGTAACGTAAATTACCGGCCCTTAACGGAATAAAACTATAGTCTCGAGCTCGGCTCTAGCGACGTTTCTAACAGGCGTAATACTTATAAGAAATATCTTTAGCGTGATTTAAAGGTACTAAAGGTTATTAAATTAAGCTTCTTTTGCTTCGTATCGATTTAGAATTTTAATAAGCCATACGTTCGCGATTAACGTCCTTTTTAACGTAACGTAAAAGAACGTATACTTAATTATTACCCTATCTACCGCGTAAATAAAGACCTTAACGAGCTAGAGTCGTTTTACCGCGTTAAGCTTATATTAAATTATCCGTATATTAACGAGGACGAGTTACTTTTAATTAACGGTACTTAATTTTTAACGCATATATTAACGTATACGCGATATTAAATAACCTATTAATACGAGGATAACTACTACGGCGACTTTCCCGGACCCGACGAAGAAAAGTTCGAGCTCCTAAAGGAAAAAGAATAGGCTTTAAACGAAAAAAACTAGGCTAAACTAACGCGTCTACTCCCGAATTAAGTACTTACGTAGGAAATATTTAACGTATTTAGGAATAAAAATATTAACGTAAATTACGATTAAGCTATATACGTAATCCGATATAAGTACCCTTACTTTTACGATTCTATCTATTAACGCGAGATAATAAGTACTACGGATACGCCGGAGTAGGAAATCGTTCCCTTAGATACCCGTAATACGCTAAATCCGGAATAAAAGCTAATTTACGATACCGTTCTCGGCTATGTATAAAGTCGTAGCTAAAACTAGCTCCTATTTTAAATCGACGGTAATAACGGTATTAGAAAATCGTATCTAATTAAGATTTTAACTTCCTACGTTCGCTAGGCTTTTACTTAGGACTCGGTAGCCCTTACTACCTTAATTAACGCTACGAATAATAACATTCGCGAAAGGACGATATATTCTTTCCTTTATTTACCCGTAAAGTATAGCTTTAAACCGCTTTCTAATAACGCTTTCGTTAAAGTATAACGACGCCTTATTAACCTTCGCTATTTAATTATCGACGAAAAGAATATATTAAGGCTACGTATACTTAGGTTTATTAACCGCCGT